CAGCCGGCGGAAGCCCCCGTCTCCGGCGGTGGGGTTCAGCTCCTGCGCCTTCCAGTAGGTGCGGGTCATGTCGAAGGGGTAGGTGACCACCAGCTCCCCGCCGTGCAGGTTGGCGCTCAGCACGAAGGGGTACCGCTGCATCCAGTCGATCACCGCCCGCGTCTCGGGGGCCACCTGCGGGGACCCCGCGTCAGAGGGTGCCGTGGCGGGTCCCGGTGCCGAAACCCCCGCCAGGCCGGGGGAAAAGCTCCCGTCGCCCCCCCCTTAGGGCGCAGGGCCGAGAGCCCGTGGGCCTGTCCCCCACGGGTGGGCATCACCCAGGCGCGCGGGGGCAGGAGGAGGGGCGGGTTTCGGGGTGCCCGCGGGGCCGGGCTCACCGTGGCGTTGGCGAAGGTGTAGTACTCGGGGATGGGGATGTAGTGGTTGGGGAACTCGTGGGGCACCAGGTCGTTGTCCTCGGCGTCCCACAGCGCTGTGTTGAGGTCGGCAAAGTTGTGGTTGAGGTCGATGCCCTCGTAGGTCCAGCGGCCCATGGCCCAGCCCGACAGCTCCGAGCCCTGCCGGGGGACGGGGTCACCGGGAACCGGCGCCGGAGGGCCCCGCGACGGGTCGGTGCTCAGCACCCCAGGACCGGGCAGCCCGACCCTACCAGCTTGTAGGCGGTCTCGTAGCCGTCGGGGTTCATGGAGGGCAGGAGGTGGATGCGGGTCTCGGTGACCAGTTGCACCACGCGGGGGTTGCCCAGCCGAAACTCCCGGCACAGGTACTCCATCAGGTTGAGCAGCAGCTCCCGGCCCAGCACCTCATTGCCGTGCATCCCCGCCACGTAGCGGAACTCCGGCTCGCCTGCCGGGCACAGCGCGTGGTGGCAGCAGGGGCCCTGGTCCTCTGTGCCCCGTGCCAGCCTGGGCATCCATGGCCACCCCGTCCCCATCCTGCACCAGCCTGGGTGTCCCTGGCCACCCCGTCCCTGGCCACCCCAGCTGTCACCTCCCCTCCCTGCCCCGGAGCCACAGAGCACCTACCCACTTCGTGCTGCCCGGGGTTGTCGGAGATCTCCATGACGTACATCTTGAGGCCCAGGTAGCTCTTCCCGATGCTGTAGACGCGGGTGATGTCGGGGCACTCATCATTCACCCGCTTCATCAGCTGGGGAGGGCATGGCGCTCTGGGTCAGGGTCCGGGGGCACCCAAGGGTGCAGACCCCCCCCCCCGGGGGGCCCCCCGGGGCGGGGGGGCCCCCCCCCCCCCCCCCGTCCCCCCCCCGCATGCGGGGCACAAGGGCCACCTTCGTGGAGCAGGAGCAGC